TTAGCTTACTTATATCTGTTTGTATTTCTTATATTACTGAAGCACTGTTTCATTCACCTCCTCATTTGAGTGAGCTGTTGCTTTCACAACTTTATCAGGTTTATATAACTCTATTTAAGGGTTTCTTCATTTAGTCTTAACCCTTCAGGACTGGTCAGTGCCCCTGTCTCCTCTTTATGTCTAGTGCTTTGTGAGGGCCCGGTTTAGAGACCCACATTAGAATCTTCCTGGATGTTGACTTAACCTTCACAGTTGTGAGTGGCAGAAATTGGCAGTGACTGAATTTGTTTGGGTCTAGGTGACTCCTAAAAATTCATAGTTTTGAGTGCTCTATAGTGACTGTAGTGCTGAGGCTGGGCAGAATTAGGTGGTAAACTGGGTGTGTGGCTGGAGGTGCTCAGCATGACTGTGTTAAGGCTGAGGGAGCCTGTTTAGTGACTCCCAAGGGAGGGGCATGTTTAAGGTTTCATGTGCTTAGCTGCAGCTTTTCATCAAGCTCAAGCAGGTCTGATTGGCAATCAGGGGTACAAGGCCATGATTGACAGCCACTGGGTTTCCTTAGTTTCGACAGACCTAGAACTTGGCTGTAAAACATGCCAGCAAGTACCTGAAAGAAGACTGGGGCTTTAGTTCAGCTGGTGGTTGAGCACAAATTGTGAGCTAGGCAAGGAGACTCTGATTGACTTTGGGTTCTTGAAGGAGCACAGCAGGCAGTGGAACTTCTTTCTGGCTAGCAATGCTCTAAGTCAGCATTCTTCAACATTTTTATTATACCTATAGGCTAGTACTTGTCCTGCATGGAATGACCATTATAACCAAGGGTGATACCAGTGTTTTTCAAGTTTTCTACAAACACCAATTCCCAGAATATACTCTGTAGAACAGTGACTGATGAATGCTGCTTAAGGAAATCTATGGGTGTATTTGCTTACTCAAGGGGTATTATTAGATAGCAGTTAAGTGGGGAATGTCCAGTCAGGGTCCATTTGTGGGCCAGGAGTCAGCAATTTTAATAACTGTTGCTCAAATTCCAGCTGACTTAGCTATTTGCTCAGGGCAAACGGAGTTCTTCTCGGGAGTCTTCCTTCGGGGTTTGTGATTATGTGCAGTGAGATGGCACCTCCCAGTCCTGCTATCAGCCAGGTTGCGAGAGGTAACAAAATTCACATATTCTCCAATTCTGACCTGTTGGTAACCCCTTACCTTCCACCTACACATGAGCATTTGTCCTGCCTGTGTGATTGTAGTATTGTAAGTATGTAATCAGATCTTAGGAGTTGGGTACTGAGTATAGGGACAAGTTCCCTGGTTTCCATTATAAAGTTTAGTGCCTTCAGCATGTCTTCCCCATTTCAGTGTGTTGCCCTCTGGTGAGGTTTGTCTTGGTGACAGCATTCCTGTCTTCAACCCACCACATGCTGTCCTTTCCTTTCTTACACTGGAAGCTCTGTTCATTCAGGTTTCAATTTGTTTTCTGTGTAAACTTATCCATGTTTTATTGTAGATTTGCTGTGATCACGGTTAGGAGATAGAGCTTTTTCCTGTTTGGTCATCTTAACCCCCAGGCTTCAAGTTTAATGTTTCCCACGTAGACTTACACAAAATCCTTTGGAATTGTTCTAACCTACTCATAAATAGAGGGAAAATTACTGTAGTTAATATCGCATTTTATTTTAGATGCATAGCATTCTGAATCCTTTTCTAGTATTAAAATAAGAACAATTGAGGGGGGTAGGGAGATGGACTAAAGGCTGGAGTCCAATTGAGTGTAACTGGGAGTTGATCACTTGATCACTTGACTTCCCATTAATCATCGATTTGCTCAAGCAGGCGCCAGTAACGTCTCCATTTGTCCCTGTCGCCTGCTAGTGTAGCCCAATGGCCTCTGTTCACTCTAGGAACACAAAGAGCCTCAAACCAATCATTCATGATCTTGATAAAGAAGTCTGACCATCTGGTAGGTGGGCGGCCACGTGGTCTTTTGACATCCGATGGAATCCAGTTGGTAACAACTCTAGTCCAGCGGTCATCTTTAAATCTCATTACGTGACCAGCCCATTTGATTTTTGACACCTTGGAAAACGAGACAGCGTCCCTGATTCTTGATCGTCGACAGATTTCGGAACTCTGGATTCTTTCTCTCATTTGAGTGAAACGTGATATTCCAAGCATAGCTCTTTCAATTCATCTTTGGGAGACCCGAATAGTGTTCTCATCCTGTTTGCGTAGGGCCCAGGTCTCTGAGGCATATGTTAATGCAGGAAAAACAGTGGAATCAAAGAGATGTGCCCGGAGCTGGAGGTTCTTCGTCCTCTTAGCTATTTCTTTGACACTCTTGAAGGTGTTCCAAGTCGCTCTCCTCCTCCTGTGCAGCTTGGGTGCCAGGTCATTTGTCATGTTGACTTCTCGACCTAGGTACACATAGCTGTTGCATTTGGAGTTGGTCATTCCATTGAGAGCGAATGGAGCGTCAGGAACGAGGCTGTTTCTCATAAACATTGTCTTCGTAAGATTCAGCTGTAGTCCTACCTTTCCACACTCACGGTTGAAGTCGGCCAGCATTTGTGCCGCTTGGCTAATGTTTGGTGTTATTAAAACAATGTCATCAGCAAAGCGGAGGTGGTGTAGTTGCCAACCATCTATCTTCACTCCCATTCCTTCCCATTCCAGTCGTCGCATGATGTTCTCGAGGGTGGCACTGAAGAGTTTTGGTGAAATGGTATCACCCTGCCGAACCCCTCTCTTGACATCAATGATTACTTCTGGGAGTTACACCTAAGCAATTAGCAGGAGGTGGGAAATAAGAAAGGAAAGAAAGAAAGAAAGAAAGAAAGAAAGAAAGAAAGAAAGAAAGAAAGAAAGAAAGGAAGGAAGGAAGGAAGGAAGGAAGGAAGGAAGGGAAGGAAGAAAGAGAGAGAGTAGGAAGGAAGGAAGGAAGGAAGGAAGGAAGGAAGGAAGGAAGGAAGGAAGGAAGGACAAGAAAGAAAAGAAAGAAAGGAGGGAGGGAGGGAGAGAGGGAAATAGGGAGGGCAGAAGGGAGAAAAAAATGAGAGCTTGAGAGCAAAATATCATAAATAGCAGTTGTAGAACTTTTGAATTCATTTGCTGAGTAATAGAGATAAAATACTTTGACCTATAGATTGTTTCTTATCACTCTTAAGCATAACAAAAGGCAGAAGCACCAGCACGAGATAGTTGTGTGATCCCAACAACTATACAACTTCTCTGAGATGTAGATTATTCATCTGTAATGATGCATCTTCATCAGAGATATTTCACGAAGTAAAAATAAGACTTAGTGTGCCTCCATCATAGATACTTCAAGGAGTAAAAATAATTCTAAGTCACCAACACAGCACTGGTTGCAGTAAGCTTCAATAACTAGTACACAATGAGGATAAGGATCACAGTATTTAGAAAAAAAAAACTTTCAAAAGAAGAGGGGCTTAAGTGTACTGCAAACAATTTTAGTGGCCAGTTTTATCAGCCTAGGTGGACTAAATTTTGGTAATAAATATTTCCAAAGTTGATGGTCAAAATGTAATAGAATGTATGGGGCTGGAACAGTAGCACAGCGAGTAGGGCATTTGCCTTGCACACGGCCGACCTGGGTTCAATTTACAGCATTCCATATGTTCCCCTGAGCACCACCAGAAGTCATTCCTGAGTGCATCAGCTAGGAGGAACCCCTGTGCATCGCCAGGTGTGACCCAAAAAGGAAAAAAATGTAACAGAAGTTTATCTTTCTCCCTTAAAACAGTTGGATATTGAGGAGACTCTCACATTTAGGAACCATATTTATGTTCTCTAGCTGTGAGTGTGACTGCTATCATAATTCTAGTGGAAAGGAAGGTAGGGAATACAAGATCTGGAGGACGGTCTGGCAGGTTGTTAAGAGCTTGGATAGAAATACCAAATACAGGTTATCATGAGAACTAGGTTTGAAGTAATTTACTGACATGAAATCCTTAACTATAGGGAGCTCAAAAATGCATTATAACTGGGAAGCCACCTGCCCCAATGACTGACAAATGAGCAAAATTGAGGTGATAATTCTGACATATTTCGTTGTATGAAAATTACCCCCTCTACTGCACACAAAATTTTGGTGCCAATCATTTGCTGATAAATTTTTATCTGTGCCAAAATTCAAAAATAGGATTTGTGGCATTGTGGGTTGAGGTACATAATAGGCTATATAGGGAACATATATACAGATTGGAACACAGCGCACTCTCTGGTCTTAGATAGGGACAGAGTGATGAATCTTGTTCCTGACCTGGTCTTAAAGATACCTGGTGTGATTTGCTAGCGTGGTCCTGGTGCCAGAGGGATCGGAAAGTGGTAGACTAGAAAAAAAATCATAGAATTTAAACAATAGGCCTGGACAGTCCCTTAGTAAGAGCTGCTAACTGAGAAACCATCTAGAATAGCAGAAACTGTGACAATGTGCTGGTAATAGGGACAGTAGGAGGGAGGGGAAAGGACAGAAGGAAATGGGGGTTGGGGAGCAGGAAAAATGAATGCCACTGTATCAAAGGAAAAAGGGGATTCCAGAACAGGCCTCCTTCCTGGGCTGGGGGCAGTGGGGGGCTGAGGGGCAGTCTGGTCTTATTTAGATCAGGGCATGGAGTAGAACCAGGCCTAAGAAGAAGAATTTAAATGAGGGAGGAATATTGATGTCTGAAAGTGGTCCCAGGCACTCCAGTGTTATCTGGGAGCAAGAAATATAAACCTACTTGTCATGAGCAAAACACCAACTCCTGGTTCTTGTGTTACAGTTCATCCATAAGCCCCATTGAGTGGGAAACCTGAGGCATCAGCACTGACTGCCTCAGTCAAGTCTGACTCAGGAATGCACATGATAGTTGAAAGCATTGGTGTTCCAGCTAGAGGGGTAAGGCAGCATTGACGAACAGAAATGAGGGGAGCACTCACAGATTATCCTAAATTTTACTGCAGCTCTAAGTGCTATAAAATGTGTTTCGTTTAATTTTTAGTCACCCTCCAGTTCCTCAAGAAATGTTCAACAAATGTTGGCAGATTCTATCAATCGTATGAAGGCACATGGATTTCACCAGGTAAAGCTTATATTCTGTCCAGAGGGGGATAAATAAGTTGTTGCTACTAACATTTCACAAATTGGTATATCAGTCTCATGTGAGAATGAAATTAAGCAAAAGAATCTGCCTTAAAAGCTAGTGAACATAGCTACATATCTTTATCTACAGTTAGAGCAGTCTTGAGTATCACAGAAAGAATAGGTGCCAAAATGTAGCTACTAAACTCAGTGAGGATCTAAAACAGAGATGTTGCCCTGGGATTTTGCAAAAAAGTGGGGAGACTGATTTTAGAGAGTGATAAATGATGCTTTGAGCTTGGCAGGAATCATCCATCTAGATCAAGTTACCTATGTGTTTATTGTCTCTGTAAGCAAGTTCCTATGTCCATTGTGCTAAGAGCATTTTTGGGGCACTCAGATCTCTCACATCCATCTAAGTGTGAGAGTCTCCCTGTGTGTGAGTCCACTTCTTTCATACCTCTAAGGTTGCTACCACGGTCTATGTAGCATACAGTAAATGACTTACAAATTATATAATTTAACCCATGGTCTTAAAAAATCTAATTACACAAGACTGTAGCTAGAAGATCGTAATGTTGTTCCTTTGGGCCGAGATCTCCAAGTGTGGTCCCGGGGATACTGACAGCTGTTTCCTCACTCCTCTCTGGGAAAATGCACATGTTTGAGAGTTCACTTTTTGAAACATCTATAAATCATAATGAATTTTGGAGCTCTAACTCTGGTATACATCATGCTGAAAACCAACAATTTAATGTCTAAATTAAATTTTAATATATATCATTTTAAAGAGGACAGAAATAAATGAAAGACAGATCATTCAACCAGCATTTATTGAGTTTTTCCTATATCTAAACATTGGTGTGAACTTTGAAAACAGTGAACCAAACATAAAGCCCCTCATAGAGCTAATATTGAATGGGAAAGATAAGAGACAACTGTTAATTCATATATATATGTATATATATATGAAGTTAATCTATGGAGGAAAATAAGTACAACAAGGGAAATGAGGACTTCTTAGGGTGACCAAAGAAGGTCACTCCAAGAAGGAAGTTCTGGCATCTGAAAGGGTGAAGGAGTGAGCATATTGGGAACTGTGCCAGGCAGAAGCAGGGGCAGGTATGACAGTACAGATTCAGGAGTTGTCTGGACATGATTAAGGGACAATGCAGAATAGACATGAGGGTGTGAATTCATGTATACTCTACTACGGAATACAGTGTTTAATGTTATTTCCTATTAGGACAGCTGTTGAGATATCTGAAGAGTGAGTTTGTTTTCCTTTTCTTTTTATTGGATCATGGTGACTTACAAAGTTACAAAGTTATTCATTACTGTTTTGAGCATATAATGTTCCAATATCAATCTCTTCATCAGTGTTGGGTGAAGGGATTCACCAATGTTCTCAGGCTCCCTTCCAGTCCCTAGTCTGCCTGGATGGCAGATTCTTGCCCTTCACCATTGTCCTAGTGTTCCTTCCCTGAATTATCTTCCTCCTGCCCTTACCCCTATAGCAAACTTCCTAATGATACCCATTTCCTGCTCTTCACTTTTTTTGCATTTGGTTATTTAATATCCCCCCAACACACACAAAGCTTCTTTATGTCCCACATATGAGAGAGCTCATCCTGTGTCTTCTCTCTCTGACTACTTTCTCTCAATTTTTCAGATCCATCCACATGGCTGAAAATTGTATTATTTCATCTTTTCTTACAGCCAATTGCCAATGAACAGATGACTGAATAAAGCAACTGTGGTATGCACATTGTGATATGTGATATGCACAATGGAATACTACTGCTGTGAAGAGTTAGTTTAGATGGAAAGAAATCTGAGAAACCTCAGTGACTAGACCTATGGTTTCTTGTCTTTGAAATGGGTTAGGTGGAGTAGACCAGTAGTTCTCAGACATCTTATATATTACACAGCCTATTTTTCACTGTATCACACTCTCATGAATTTAACATTTCATTCCTCCCTTCCTAACTGAAGAAAGCATGTTAGTCTTTAAGAGAATAGTCATCAGGTCTCTTGCCAAACTTCTCTGTTGGAGCATCGAGGATGAAACTTCAGGAAAAAGGAAAATGATGGGAAAACATTTGAAAGTCTGCATCAGTGGGTCAGGATGAAAGGTTTTCTGTGGGAGATGATTCCACAGCCCTCTATCTCTCCACACATCAACCCCAGTTGTCTGAACCAACATTCAGCCCTGGTTCTTCTGCTTCTTTTCTCCTAGCCCTCAGTTTAATTCCAATACCTAATCACAGTGCCCAACCTGGACTATGTATGTCCAGCAAATCACTTTTAAAGAGGAAATGATGGATTTTGAATAGAGAAATAGAGTAAAGATCTACTTGTAAATTTCTGCGAAATTTCTGCCAAAGTTAAACCTTTGGGGCAAGGGAAATTCTGGAGAAACTCAATAGGTTCTTCAGTTTTGCAAGTTGACTGCAAGTGCAATCATCAGAGTTTGATCTCATCTGCTTTTACTCTCTAAAATTCATTGTCTCATTCCCATCTGTGCTCATAATTTACTGGAGAATGAAAGGGATATGATTTATTAAATGCATCCTCCTCATCATTTCAGTATCATTTTTATCAACCAAGAATCACCTGAAGTATTATTAAATCTTTTCCAAAATGACTCATTCACTTTGTAAACTTTTTCTAATCCAACAGATATTGATATAATCATAGTTTAGTATTATTACTATATTTAATCATTTTTAATTTAATACATATGTATGTAAAAGATAAACAAAGCTCCACTTTTAAGTGTTTTCCATTGTGAGCTTTGCAATTTCTAGCAATCCTTTTTATTCATTTCAGACTGGGAAATGAGGAGGTGTCAAGTTTTAAAGTAATTTCAAAACTGTAAGCTACAGTAACTGACTTTTGACTTCCTACTGTGATTGAAAACAAGTTTCCAAACATCAAGATATCTAGTTGTGTTGAAATATTACAGTAGAAAAATCTTTAACTTCTTACAAGAAAAACAAGTGAAGAAAAATTTGCCTTCTCTGTGACAGAGGATAAAGCATACTTTGCTAACCTTGGCATCTTGTTTCCTTTCGTACTGGTGGTTTTATTTAGTTTATCAAGTTCTAAAGGGGCTGGAGTGATAGCACAATGGGTAGGGTGTTTGCCTTGCATGCAGCTGACCTGGGTTCAATTCCCAGCATCCCATATGGTCCCCTGAGCACCACTAGGGGTAATTCCTGAGCCAGGAGTAACCCCTGGGCAACGCCAGGTGTGACCCAAAAAGCAAAAAAAAAATAGTTTATCAAGTTGTAAATCCAGTTTTTTTATGAGCACTCAGAAAGACTGTAGCACTGTAGCACTGTCCTCCCATTGTTCATCGATTTGCTCCAGTGGGCCCAGTAACATCTTCATTGTGAGACTTATTGTTACTGTGTTTGGCATATTGAATACATCATGGGTAGCTTGCCAGGCTTTGCCATGCAAGCGAGATACTCTCGGTAACTTGCCAGGCTCTCCGAGAGGGGCGGAGGAATTGAACTCGGATTGGCCTCTTGCAAGGCAAATGCCCTACCCACTGTGCTATCTCTCCAGCCTGCATCCAAGAATCCAGCCTGCATCCAAGAATCAGATAAAAAAATTAAATCACTAAGTCAAAAACAAAACAAAACTCTCTCTCCCTCTCTCTGATACCTCACTCCCCTTAACTTCAGCTTTTGATAAGTTTTCCAATGAAGAAAGCAGGGCACTTCCTGAAGGGAACAGGAACAGCCTCCTGCCTGGGAGGTGAGTGCTGGGATAACCACCCCCTGCCTGGGAGATGAGTGCTGGGATAACCATCCCCTGCCCGGGAGGTGAGTGCTGAATAACACCTCCTGCCTGGAGGCAGGTGCCAAGACTAGCTCCTGCCTGGGAGGTGGAGTCCGGTTCACTGGTGGCAGAAAAGGCAGCTCCAGCTTGAGCTGGGCAAACAGGGAGAAGTGGTCAGAGGGCATGAGCGGGTGCGGGTAGCCAGCAATGTTCTCCACGAGCCAGGGGGTGGTCCAGGGGGCCCAACATGCCCAGGGTCTTTAGTTGAGGCTTCGAGTGGAAGATGTAGTCAGTGATCCCCTTCAACTCAAACGTGTAATTGGTGTAAGGCATGAGGCCCTGCTCTTAGGCATTCTTAAGCAGGAAACCATGAGTGATTCGCCTGGGAGGCTGTCCCAAATTTTCCACTGCAGCTGAAGTTGGTGAGACTTTCATTGTAACTCAATTCCTTAAAGTCCTTATGATTGGTCTCTACTCCCCCGGTGCTCAGGTACCCCACAACACCAGAGTTGGGCATGGAGTTGAGGTCGGCACACAGCACCAACGGGATGGTCCTGAGCTCCCCCAGCACTCTGGGCTGCAGGCTCTGGGAAGCTCTGTCACTCAGACAAAATCAAATAAATAAAGTTTAAGTGAGAAATCAATGAACAGTGACAGTGAGTTTAGTTACAAATGATTTCCTTTGAATTGACTTTATGTTACTGAAATATGCATTTTAAAAAATTGCTTTGGGAAAGGTGGTTGAGTCCCAGCATTGCAAAAAATATATATATAAGGGTAGCACTGTAGCACTGTCCTCCCATTGTTCATCCATTTGCTCAAGCAGGCACCAGTAACATCTCCATTGTGAGACTTGTTGTTACTGTTTTTGACATATCAAATACGGTACTGGGAGCTTGCCAGGCTCTGCTGTGCAGGCAGGATACTCCTGGTAGCTTGCTGGGTTCTCCGAGAGGGGTGGAGGAATCGAACCTGGGTAGGCCGCAAGCACGGTAAAAGCCCTACCTGCTGTGCTATTGCTCCAGCCCATATATAAGGGTAAGATGATAAGTTTATTCTCTCCAAACATTAAAAAACCCTTAAGGAAATGTTTTTAATTTAAATATTTTATTTTATAATTATAAAATTATATGATATATATTTATGTGATGCTTCACAAAGCATCATATCAATAGTATAAATTGCAACACTTTAATAAATTATATGTTTTATATTGTTTACTTGGATTTTTCCCTTTCAAAAAGGATGTTTTAAACACCTTTGTTATTATATAAAAAACTGTATGCCTAAAACTCACATGTGAATAATTTTGTAAATTTCAGTTCTTTAATAAAAATAAGTAATTTTTTTAAAAAGAAAAATATCATAAAATGAGACTAACACCTAAGGACAGTGGAGACAAAGGCTAGGAAGATTGCCTCACTATTGGAAGCCTGCCTTGTGTGCAGGAGGAAAAGGCAGCTAGGATAGAGAAAGGATCACTAAGTCAATGATGATTGGAGGGATTGCTTGGGATGGAAGATGTGTGCTGAAAGTAGATAGAGAGCAAAACGTGATGGCCTCTCATTGTCTGTATTGCAAACCCATAGTTAGAGTGAGAGTCAGAGGGAAATTGTCTGCCATAGAGGCAGGGGGAGAGGTGGGACCAAGATGTGGGGAGGGATACTGGGAATATTGATGGTGGAAAATGTACACTGGTGGAGGGATAAGTGTTTGATCATTGTATGGCTGAAACTCAATAAGGAAAGCTTTGTGACTGTAGCTCATGGTGGTTCAACAAACTAATTAGAAGAAAAAAGAAAAAGAATGAGTATTCCTTTTTGAATTACCTAAAATAGTGTGTCAGCATCACATTTCCTGACACATGGTTCGAGTGGCAGTGGAGGTACAGCCAAGATGTAGTAGGATGCTGTTCCACAGAAGCTGTCCATTAATTTAATACCTGTAAAATAGTATTAATCTAGTTTTACTTCAGTGAACCTTAGTAATTAAACCTCAGGTTTAGGAACTGGCAGCGATGCCAGAACTGTAAGGGTGACACCGAAGCCCAGTCTTTTCCCATCAGACCAAATTCCCTCCCTAAGGGCCAGTGGGAATTCAGTGGAAACCAGGTAAGCCTGAATCATCCTCCTGCAGAAACTGGCTAGTTTTGGGTTTTCATTTGCTTATTTTTTTAATTGAGCTTTAAATGACATAAATTTGAGTTTCAAGTACACAACATACAGATTCAATATCTGTATATGTTGTGAAATAGTCATCTCAAAAAGGCTACTTGATATCCTATTTTCTGTTGTTTTTGTTTTGGTGTGTGTGTGGCGGGGGGGGGGGGGGGGGGAGGGGGGAGAGTGGTGAAACCTACCATTCAGTGTTCAGGAAAAATTCCTGGTTTTGTGCTCAATCCTGATGGTACCAGGGATTCAAACCAGATTGGCTGCATGAAGGCATGTACCTTTACCTTTGTACTATCTCTCGGACCCATCTTTATTGTCGTTGTTGTTTTAACAGAAAAAAGGATCTGTGAAGAATACACAAGATGAAGAAGTAAAACAAGTAGATGAAGAGAAAACCAAGCAAATCTATAAGAACTGGAAGGAAGATTCTGAGTGGCAGGCATCACGTGAGTAACAAAGTCTTGTGGCTTCAACTCTCTGACACTTTTCATCACTGAAATGATCAATTGTTCCAGTGGTTATTGTTTCAAACTAAATTATTGCTCAAAGACTTGCATGATACTAAAACAGCAGATGATTTGTAAGTTCATCTTAGTATCAAATTTAGGGTATATCCATATGATAGAATAATTTTTGACTATTAAAATATGTTTTAGAGGAGTATCAAATGATGTGGAATAAATGATTATCTCTTGCTTAAAGAAGAAAGAACATTGTAAAACAGGGACCAGAAATATGGCAGAGGAGATAAGGTGTTTGCGGGGCAAGCTGCTGACCCTGAGTTGACCCCCACTATGTACATTACTGGGTAAGGCCAACTGCTTTTCATTCTAAAGTATCACTGTATCACTGTCATCCCATTTTTCATCGATTTGCTCGAGCAGGAGCCAATAACATCTCCTAACATCTCCATTCGTCCTAGCCCTGAGATTTCATTAGAGATTTCATTCTAAAATAGTTTGAATAAATTCTGTTTTAAAATGTGCATGAAAATTAAGTACAAGAACTAGAAGATTAGTTACAGGTTAACATTGGATTTCTTAGAGGAGATTCATATGGCTATTTTGAAATCTTGTTCTTTATTTTTCTAAATTTTCAATAGCAAACACTTCTTAACTTGATAGTCAGAAAACCATAGCAGTCTGGAGCTAACCTATCTCTCCAGACTTATTGCCCAACTATGGGTCCTTTTGAGTTAACAGTCATATTTAACCCTTCTCAGAAAATAAATTGGTATGGATGGAGACAAAGCAATGTTGCTAGAAGTGGTTTGAAGCAGGACTAGAATTTCTGTCTGATTCAAAAATAATTCCTGATAGATCCTTGCAAAACATTGAAGAGAACAGGATAGGAAATATTTGCTGGATGATGAGAATATTAAATTAAGGCCCCATTTCAAATAAAGCAAACACTATTAAATTAACAATTATTGTAAACTGAAAATATTTGCAAAATTCAATCAATTCTATTGGGTGAAACTGTAGCTTTGTGGAGTAATTTTGGTTCTTTCATGTATACCTTCATGTTCTCTGACAGTCTATAGTAGAGATCACTTTGGGTTTCCTTTGCCTGGGAGTCTGACTACCATTTCTTCCGCTCATGACGACCTCTGAAATTCACCGACACTGAAACTTGCTGCTTACAGTTACTATAACTGAGTTCCTGAAGGCTGGGTCTTGGTTCATAGATTAATATTGTAAATTCAAGCGTGTGAGGGGTGTGATGTCATCTGTTTTTATTCAAACACCTTCTCTGAACCTTCCTCTCAACTGGAGTCCTCACTCAGACTAAACTTACTACTTACTCTTGCCAGCTGCAGGAAATTCTCCAGTATGTGGTTTTGCATTACCACCTTATCTTTTCTGTTCCTTGCAGAAAGTCTCAAAACTCCCCTATTAGAGAGATTCTGCAGTGAAAGTAAGGTAGCTGTGACTGCGTACCCTAACTCTCTGAGTAAATACGAGCATTAATAGGGATTTCCAATTAAAATAAGCAGAGTGTAAACTTTGGAGAGACCTCCCTATCTACCAGCTGCAGTATTGATTCTTCTGACCTGCTTTTGTGGGGTGAGCCCTGCTCAAACCCCATTGTTTTTCTAGTGCGAAAATCTAAAGCAGCCGATGAGAAGAGACGATCCTTGGCTAAACAAGCACGGGAAGACTACAAGAGATTATCTTTAGCTGCCCAAAAAGGAAAAGGCGAGGGGTCACAGAGCCTCCCATGCATTCCACAAAAACCGAAAAGACCCCCACTTCCACCCAAACCTTTATTTCTGAGCCCCACTGGATACCCTCAAAAATCTCTCAGGTAAGAAGCCATGCAGATTACTTTAAGGGTACCAACACTGAAATGGGTTGATTTCTCAATACCCCAGCTAGTAGAATTAATAGAGATCATAGGAACTTACGTTAATTTGTCTTACAACTTTTATTGCACTAGGGCTGGAGCAATAGCACAGTGATAGGGCATTTGCCTTGCGTGAAGCCAGCCCGGCCGAGCTGGGTTTGATTCCTTCACCCTTCTCAGAGAGCCCGGCAAGCTACCGAGAGTATCTCGTCCCCACAGCAAAGCCTGGCAAGCTACCTGTGATGTATTCAATATGCCAAACACAGTAATAACAAGTCTCAAAATGGAGACTGGGCCCACTCGAGCAAATCGATGAACGGGAGGACAGTGTTTGTTTGGACAGTATATGAAAGCAATAAGCATTCATAGAAACTCTACTTTTGAATTTTGGTCATTCCTTTATTCCCTACTTCTTTCTTTCTTTCCTGCTTTCTTCTCTCCCTACTTTCCCCTCTTTCTTTCTTAATTCCTCCTTTCGTTTCTCACTTCTGCCCTTCCCCCCTCTTTTGTTTAATTCTTTATATTTTTTACAGTAGTAAAATCTTCTGTTTTGTTGCAGTGCTACTATGCCATCTTACCACCAGTTCGATCCCTTCACCGTATCCTAAAGTCCCACCCCCCTTTTGCATCTAACGTGCTTAGATAATAGTTCTATTAAACCTATCTCAGAATTTCTATCACCTGATAGTCACACGTCAAACATCTCAACATGAGATTTATTATATAATAGGCTTTGTATAAGATGATTTTGCCAAACTGTGTTAATGTGACATTTCTGAGTATGTATCTTCTAAGCTGTGGTCTTCAATAGTTTAGGTGTATCTTGAACATATTTTCAACTTAACAATGGTTTCAATTTATAATGGATGTATTAGAACAGAACTCCAGGGCAAGTCAAATAAAATCTGTGTTCCCAAAAATTTGGTGAAGACACAATTGAGTTTGATAAGCATTCTCTGTTAGTACCCCACATCCACCCCTCTCCATCCTACACCTAGGGTTTCATTCATGGTTGGCACCTACTCCTACTTCAATAGAGCTACATTTTTGTTGATCAGGATTAGATGTTTGATGAGAATTATTATACTAGGATATATTGCCAAGCTCAAATGTTGAGCATTTGGAAATGCTCACTTTTTGAATAACTACTTTATTTGGTGATGGTAATAGGAGACAAAGATACAGAGATTAGAAAAATTTGTTTTTAAAAATACTAAAGAAATATACAAATGATATTATAGCAGAGACCCCATATTCCTTATTTTTATTGATTATTTAGTTTCATATTATAATTATGTGGAAATGGAATGTTTAAAATAAGAAAGAGGAATAAGATTTTTATTTAGAACTAGAACTGTCTAAAACCTTACTTTCTGAAATTAAAACTAAACATGCTTTCTGTTTCCAGTACAGAGAAATGTAAACAAAAATCTCCCTTTATTTGGAATCAATAGTTATCTTTAAGGTTTTTTTTTTCTTAAAAGAGATCATGACTCAGAGGATGCATGATGGTAGAACTCTTCCTCTCTTGCAATTATTTTTACTTATTCACCTGAAAAGTTTCATCTAGAGACTAGGACACTGACACTAAATGACCATAATTAACAAAACAACAGTTTTGGAAGTGATGATTATTGTCTCATGGACACCTAAATAACAAAGATGATCATGACCTGGGTCTTCTGTGGTGCTGGGCGAGGTGCCTAGAGTGGTGGGCACTTACAGGTCGCTCGCAGCCTTGACTTGCCTGTGAGTGTTGGCCTCTTCTCTGCATTTTCAACAGCTGGAAATTTAGCTCATCAGATGTCCCCACCAACAATAGTTTTAGAAGCAGTTACTTGATTCATAGCAGTGAAGGTGACCACTAATGGCAATTCTTGCTAGCTCTACCCAGGTCTTCTTCCAATGTAAGATACTTGCAGAAAGTGCTTGTGAGGCACCAAAATTGGGTGGCTTTAAGGCTGAGAAGCACTCATAACTGAGGTTTCTAGGAGCCAACCTAGGAACAGACAGACTCCTTCAAGGCTTTTGATGTTATTGTCTCATCTCTAACGACTTCTGAAGGGAAGCCAGTACTTAATTTGGAAGCTATTATGGGAATTTACCATGTGTGCAGTGTCTGCTTCTCATGAAAATAAAATATTATGGGTCATTTAATATGAAATGTTATATATGTTTATGCATACATTTACATGACTTTAGATTCATATGCATATAAATCACATATAACACCTGGTATCATGTGTTATCATAAAAAGCACCACAAGCCATTAATCATTTTACATGATAGGAACTCATTCCAGTAATGTTCAAATTTATTTTCTCGTTGTTCTCCGCTTAAAATTTGTAGACTATTGTGTGGGACTCAAAGTCTTAAAAGACTTTAATTCCTATTTTGAAGACTTATTTTAAGCAGGACTAAACTTCTTTAGAGTAGAAAACAAGTCAAGAAGGTTGTCAGAAATGTGAAGAAGAGAAAATTTAACTAATGAAAATATTAGGAAAAAAGGTTATTGTATTTTTTTAAATTTTGTCATAGTACTGGGAATAATAGTTTTCCAAGACAAATAGTTCTGGAAGTCTATTTAACTTTTTAACATTTTTTTCCTCAAATTTTAATTATCAACTGATAAAACTACTAGTTAATATTAAAATTAATTAAAGTCTATGTGTTAACCACAGTAATAATACCCATGACTAGCCCTATAGCACAGCAATAAATGTGTGTCCTTTCTGTTTTCAGTTTGAGGTGTTGCTTTATGGTAGAACATAATTATCCAACATACCATTATCTCAGACTGGAATGATAGCACAATGAGTAGGGCAATTGCCTTGCATGTGATCGACCAAGGTTCAAGTCCTTTGTCCCTCTTGGAGAGGCTGGCAAGCTACCAAGAGTATCCGGCCCACATGGCAAAGCCTGGCAAGCTCTCGGTGGCATATTTGATATGCCAAAAACTGTAACAAGTCTTGCAATGGAGACATTACTGGTGCCCACTTGAGCAAATCAATGAACAATGGGAGGACAGTGCTACAGTGCTACCATTATCTCAGCTCAGGGAATTACATTTCCACATTTTACATATAGCTGGAGCAATAGCACAGTGGGTAGGGCGTTCGCCTTACAAGCGGCCAACATGGCCGACCCGAGTTCGATTCCTCCGCCCCTCTCGGAGAGCCCGGCAAGCTACCGAGAGTATTCGATATGCCAGACACAGTAACAACAAAGTCTCCAATGGAGACGTTACTGGGCCCGCTCGAGCAAATCGACGATCAACGGGAGGGCCTTTACCTTTACCTTTACATATATATGTGTATGCATATATTCACACACACACATATATATCTTATTCTGTATGTGTACATACGTGTTTAATCTCTGGGGGCAGCTAGGGAAGCCCCAGCGGCTCTCCCCATTGCCACCCGGGTTCGGGTGGTCTCAGACCACTTGCCCAGATGAGGCAACTCGTGCTATGGGGCAGACAGAGGAGGAAATGACGGCCAAGCCAGTTGACTGATCAGATGCTGTTTATTCCATTCTCCCCCAAGCCCCTGCTCTGGTTTCTCTGAGCCCCCCATTGTAGTCTCACACTGCTCCCCATTCAAGTCTTCTCCTGTCTTTCCCACTCATCTCTCCACGCTCCATCTTGCTCGCTGGGCTCTCTCTCTCCTCTCTTCCAACTCTCTTGTCTCTCCAACTTAACCCTTCTCTCCCCAACTCTTCATCTAGCATTCTGGGCCAACAATACACCCAGTCTGGTAGCAAAATCAACATAAGAAAGCCCTTTCTGACTGCCCATCAGGCTCAATGATGGAAACACCACATAGGGGTGTTTCTCTTCTCCTTAGTCCAATAACTTAATTAACACCTTAATTCTACTTCCTATTATTAGTTATTTTTATGGACACAGTAAGAGATACATTGAGGCATGTAGGGCAGCTCTCCTGGGAACATCTTGCCACAGACTCAGACTACAGTGCTCAGGCTAGATTATTTTTTTCTAACCCTAGCAGGGCCCGAATATTTTGGATCATGACAGCATTTGTCCATGACCAAGCTCTTAACTTATAGTTAAGTATTATGGCACTTTGGCCAGGCCCATTTCGATCCAGGGTAGCACATAGCTCACCACTTGTCCTGGGTCCATCCAGTCCCTCATCGGGACCCTGATTTGGGGGTGCTAGGAAGTAAGGGCAACTGAGGCTTAGGTTGAGAGAACAGATGTCCCATAGGAAAATATCACTGAGTCAATTGACTCCCATTACTAAAGCATAGCACTAACTGTCTTCTTGTGTCCATATGAAAAGGATATTGCTCTGAATTAACTATGCAAAGGACTTAAGGAGAAAAGAAAAGCAATATTTACAAGTTAACAGAGCACAAAGAAAGACGTTACAAATAAACACAGAGGAATGGGAGCACTGTGATGGAAGTAACCCAATAAATCTAAGCTCCCTGCAGCAAGGTGGAAAGGACAAACCAATGTTATCCTACATATATAAATATATATTTATAATATAATATTTTTAAAGCATTACTCTCAAACTAGTTAAATCTGACTTGAAAGCCTGCCTTTATATAGCAGAAATCAGGATGTGGCAAGGACATCATCCAGCTCTCTCCAGGAAGAGATCATCCGTTGGTTTAAAGAGGAGCAGTTCCCCCTGCATGCTGGCTACGAGAAAACTTCAGCAACCATTGCTCCCTGGTTCCATGGTAAGTGCAGAGGCTCCTCCATGGAACTCTGTCTAACGGGATGAAATCATGCCAGTCCACAGGAAGGTATAAATAATCAAGTGTGGTCTAGCTTGAGTCTTGGAAATTATTTTTAAGTAGTTTTCTAAAGGTGTGCAAGTAAGCTGCATTCTCCTAACGTGTCTGGGAAGTACTCAGTAGTTCATTCATCACCATTGATGGAGAGAATCTACCTCCAGTGCACACACACACTGAAATACTTGTTTGTGATTTCTAACAAATGGCAACTAGATATGAGCAGTGACCAGAGCCACTGAGTGTGGTGAGCAGGCAACAAATGTTTATCAGTCAAAAGGTAAAAGTGTTTATCAGTCAAAAAGATAACTAGCCAGGTGGCCTTTAACAGACCATCTTTTCTCTGCATCAAATAAATTTGTCTCATCTATGTAATAAAGAACCTGTACTTTGTGATCTTTAGCATAAAAAAAATGGTACTTTTGTCCTTATTAGCAGTGCATAATTAAAGCTACAAGTTAAAATCATTGACATCCAGCAGATTTCTCTTGGATTTTGGCTATACTCAACAGTACTTGAAGGGTATCTTTGACTCTGTGCTTTGGGTATGTTCTTGGAGGTACTGAGGGATCACATGGAGCTGAGAATCCAACACAGACTTTCAGAGTGTAAAGCAGACAAAGTGTTGGGCTCTTTGAGCTATATTCCTCACATTTCTTAATTTGACCCTAGCATTTGATTAATTCTGCCTCACCAACTCAAACTTCACTAACCTCCCAGTGTTTTGGTCTTCAAGAGTAAGAAAGTGGTGTCTTTCCTTATTTGGCTTCCATGAGTTTATGCTTGAAACAGATTTATTGGCTCCATGTACCAAAAAATGCTTTAAACAATAATAAATTCCCCTAACTGGGTAGAGTTGTTCTCAGCAGTATCTTGGTTTGAATTGTTTTATCTCAGACAAATATATCTTTCCACACATATAACATGGCAAACTTCTGAAAACAAAATTATTTATGATAGGTTTTCTGCTAAGGGATAATTTTGCAGTTAGAATATTTGAGCAGAGCTGTCAGGTTTTCCTTGAAAATATATTTTCTCTAATAATTAAACCCCTGATATTTGTCCTAGGAACAGTTCAGAAGTCTTCTCCCTTTCTTTCTGTTCTAAAGAGATTTGGAATAAAAGTGACAACCGTGTCAAAAGTTTAGTGAGAAGAACATAGGCGAGTTGCATAGTCAATGTAGCTTGCTTCACTGTCTCATCTTGCCCTCTTATTTTCTTTTTAAGATTACCTCTGAAGGGGCAGACCTCTCCTTTGACCCCGAATTGCATCATTCACCCTATCCACACTGCCTACTTCTGTGTGTAACTTCCAAAGCCTGTATCTCACTGTCTCCTCCCCAGCGTATGATGGCCTGATCATGTACCTATGCTGTTCTATATACAGAGTATGTTTTCCAAGTCTGAAATCTTAGGGCTGGGCCTCTCATGGGCTATACCACAGTGGTTTCCTATCATTTTGGCTTTCGTTAAATCTCTGGACTGCCTTTTGTCTAAGTGTAAGACTCTTATCTGATTCTACAGTTTGTCTGGGCAGAGTGAGTATGTAAAGAAGGGAAGTAAGGAGAGGTAAGGCTGGGGGTTCCTTTCATCTGCTGCCATCTCTCACCCCAGCCACCCTGCTCTCTATTTTTATTGGACATTTTGTTGATGGCAAATAAACTGACCAACTAAAATAACTAATTCACTTGACGCTCTACTTCCCAGTCCCCCTGTATCATCTATTTACCTTTGCTCCCACTTGTTGGCATTGAATCATTGACGATATCACTAGTCTCAGTGTCATGAAGGGTGCTTACTGTGTTTCCATCAATATAATTTATGGATTAAGGCCTGATAAGAAGATATTTAATCCAAATTTAGATTTAGTTTTGTGCATGGTGTGAAGTACCAGTCTGAGATCTTTTTTTTTTTTTTTTTTTTTTTTTTGCTTTTTGAGTCACACCAGGCAATGCACAGGGCATACACCTGGCTCTGCACTCAGGAATTACTCCTGGCGGTGCTCGGAGGACCATATGGTATGCCCGGTTTGGCCCCATGCAAGGCAAATGCCCTACCTGCTGTGCTGTCACTCTAGCCCCGATCATTTTTTAATGTGTGGCAGACCAGTTTTCCCAAGACCATTTGTTGAGGAGGTTTCCCTTGCTTTACTTCATACTCTTAGCTCTTTTATCAAAGATTATCTGTGCAGACACACACACACACACACACACACACACACACACACAGTTCTGTCTCTGCTTTCAGTCCCTTTCATTGGTCTAAGAGTCCGCTTTATGTCACTGCCACGCAGTCTTGGTTACTGCAACTTTACAACCTAATTTAAAGTGGGAAAAAGAAAACCTTTCCATCTTCTTTTATGCATAGGGTTGTTTTGGCTATTTGGGGGAGATTTATTTCTTTGAAAGGGATTTTAGGTCTTTCTATAATATCATGACATCTACAAATAGTGTTAATTTTATTTCTTTTCTAATGGATACCCTTAATATGGGCTGGAGCAATAGCAAAGCAGTAGGGCGTTTGCCTTACAAGCGGCCAACATGGCCGACCCGAGTTCGATTCCTCCGCCCCTCTCACGGAGCCTGGCAAGCTACCGAGAGTATCTCGCCCGCACGGCTGAGCCTGGCAAACTACCCGTGACATATTTGATATGCCAAACACAGTAACAACAAAGTCTCCAATGGAGACGTTACTGGGCCCACTCGAGCAAATTGATGAACAATGGGAGGACCGTGACCGTGACCCTTAATATATCTTTCTTGAATAGTTGTTATAGCAAGGACTTCCAATACTATATTGAATAATGGTGAGTGGGGACAACCATGTTTTATCTGGTCTTAGAGGGAAAGGCTTTTGGGTTTGTTTGGAGATTTTTGATTGAACCAATGTAAGCTTTACAAAGTTGTTCATGATTGAGTTTCAGTCATACAGTATTCCAACCGCCATCCCTTTATCAGTGCATATTTCCTGCAATCAATGTCCCCAGATTCCCTCCCACCCACCCTTCATCCTGCCTTTTTGGTAGACACTTCTCTTTTCTCTCTCTCCCCTTCCTTCTCTCTCTCTCTCCCTCCCCTATTCCCCCTCCCTCCCTCCCTCCCTCCCTCCCTCCATCTTGCTCTCTCTCTATATATATATTTTCCTTTCAGACAGTGTGGTTTGCAACGCTGCTACTTATAGGGTATCATGTCTATCACTTTGCCTCCTTTCAGCACTCAGAGTGATCATTTCCAACTATCATTCTCATAGTGGTCCATTCTCTATTCTAACTACACTCCCTCCTCAACCCCCACCTACCCTTTGTGGCAAGCTTCCTACCAAAGTCCAATCCTTTTGGCCCTTGTTTTTACTGTCTTTGGGTATTATTCACATACTTTTTTTTCTTTTTTATATTTCGCAAATGAGTACAGTTATTCTATGTCTGCCCCTTTCCCTCTGACAGATTGCACTCAGCATGATGCTTTCCATGTTCTTTCACATACTAGAAAATTTCATTACTTCATTTTTCCTAACTGTTCCATAGTATTCCATTGTATAGATATGCCATAGTTTCCTCCCAGGCTGAGACTCCCTTGGAGCGTCTGCCAAAAGACGCGCTGCCCCCTCCCCCGCTCCGCCCCCCCCCCCCCCCCACCAAGCCTCAGGAGAACATTAGAGAGAACTCCGAACTCCAGCAGGCACCTAAGCGGCCCCTCCCACCAACAGTAATACAGCTGACTGGGCGCAGCTTCCAGGGCAGATGCAGTTATTTCCCCCTTTCCCAACACTTTGGACTCACAGCTCAGCCTCCATTATCTAATTCTAAAGAGGACATCCTGACTATCCCAAACACATTAGGCCATAGACCACTAGCTTAGTCCAATAAAAATATACCAAAAACTCACTGAAATAACAGTGAACACAAGAATCTGAATAAGCCTTATGTAAAAGAACAGACCCTGTGACGCTGCACTAGTGGCCCAACTAGTGGCAAAGAGGAGCACCAAAGAGGTAATATTCTTAAAGGGGGAAAAAGGAGACTGTCATTGACCAAGCCCATCTAGAATCCTCTCTTGCAGTGAAAGGAGATCACTGATAGTGAACTGAAGGGCTTCACCTCCATAGTACCACAGCAACATGAAGAAACAGCACAGATTTCCACCATGAGGAGTGGATGAAGAAAAGATCCCTGAAGCCTCAACAGGGAATTCCCACAAATACAATCTCTCTGATAGAGAATTCAGAGATGAAATGTTGAGGATGTTCAATTTGCTCTAAGAAACAGTGAAGCAGGCATCCAGTAAATTAAAGGAGAAAATGAAAGAAACAGTCAAGAGGAGGAGAAGATCGAGATCCAGACCCAGAGCCAGGAAAGAGAGGTTCCAGATCGACGACCGGGAGAGAAAGAGAGAGACAGGAGTGAATGGGGATGAGAATGAAATAAACGGCATCTGATCAATCAACCGGCTTGGCCCTTGTCTCCACTGCGATCTGCCCCAGGGCCTGGGCCTCCCCAGCTGCAGGGAGCAGCCCAGGCCCCACAGAACCTGGGTGGCCAGAGGAAGAGCCATCAGGGCCAACCCCTGCCTGCCTTCAGAGTTTTTTACAGCATCCCTGGAGTGAGCATGAACTATCAACTAAAGATAAGAATAGCATTTGGTCCATCCCCTACTCTAGAAAGTGAGTGGGAGAATATGATTTCTTAGTGTACTGGGAGTTAGAATCCTAGCAGCAATCCCAAATAAGATGGGGCAGACTCTGGGCCTTCCCAAGATCTTTCATAGTTTCTCGAGCCAGACTGAACAGCCCAAGGCATTTATGGATTTGATTCAGTGTCTCTCCTGCAAGACAGGGAACCCAGAACTCTAGATTTCCAGAGACCAGCTCCGGTCCTGCTTTAAAGTAGTTTATGAGGTAAACCCATGGTCCCCGGATGAAGGGACTCTAGAAACCAAGATTTGGAAAAA